ATGAGGAGTGGAATTCTCCGAAACTAGTCTGGCTCACAGACACCCCCCCCCCCCCCAATGAAAGAATAGACCATTCCAAGCTTTTACTTGTTGTTAAAACAAATGTTTAAACAACTGTATTTATTCAACTTTAATATAAGTTTAACATAACAGGAAATGTACAACGTTTCGACAAGGTTTTGTCATCTTCCTTACCCATTCAAGCCATTTCCAAGCATTATCTAAGGTGATTTGTTAAACCCAAGTAATATGTCAAATGGCCTAAATTTTAGATCGATTACTAAGAATGTGATATACTATATCAAAGTTTGTGACCTAATATGTCAGATTTATCAATTCTACATATACCAAGTTTAGCGTTTTTGTCATAGACACATATCAATCAAGGTAGATTCACTATATATGATAGAGGCTTACCAGTGCCCTTAGGTAGTACAACTAATACTGGACCAATGGATAGTTTCTAATTATCATTCACGTAGTGATGAAATATTAGTTAAAGAAGAGGGTGGTTCTAAGTTTCTAATTATCATTCGCGTAGTAATAAAATATCAGTTAAAGAAGAGGGTGGTTCTAAGTTTCTAATTATCGTCACGTAGTAATAAAATATCAGTTAAAGAAGAGGGTGGTTCTAAGTTTCTAATTATCGTCACGTAGTAATAAAATGTCAGTTAAAGAAGAGGGTGGTTCTAAGTTTCTAATTATCATTCACGTAGTAATAAAATATCAGTTAAAGAAGAGGGTGGTTCTAAGTTTCTAATTATCATTCACATAGTAATGAAATATCAGTTAAAGAAGAGGGTGGTTCTAAGTTTATAATTATCATTCACGTAGTAATAAAATATCAGTTAAAGAAGAGGGTGGTTCTAAGTTTCTAATTATCGTTCACGTAGTAATAAAATATCAGTTAAAGAAGAGGGTGGTTCTAGAGTAAAAAAGAAATACTGTCATCTACTCAGTCCTGACTAACTATTCTCGCCAACAGGTAACGTTCTTGCAACTTAGGCTAGTTTTCATTACCTGTTTTTTTTATTATTATGTATAGCAAAGCAGCTAAAGCTATCTGCCGCTGTCCCTAATTTTGAATTATTGACTAGAGAGAAGGCAGCCGGTCAGCAGCACCCTACCACTCACCATCCACGCTAAAGACTCACCTGTCACTCTTATAACACACTTAGCTTACAGTGTGTGGAATAGTTTGTGTTTTCACATGGATTCGAACTCTAAAGGCGTATTAAATGTGAGTGTGTATAAAACGATACCTTACAGTGGCTCAGCAGTAAATGTGAAGGGTTATGCCGCTAAAAATGGGTTTTCGATA